TGAGCCAAGCAATGTATGGGAAGCAAGTGGCTAAGATATGTTCTGAGATAAGAGATGACATGGATATCCTCTTAAAGCAAGGAGTTGCTTTTTGTGAGTTAGAGGGACTTTACTATTTTTGGCACTGTTTTATCCAAATAAAGCTTATGAAACAGAAACATAGAAAGGTTCATACTCAATAGCATTTCCAAAAGTAACTGCTTCAGGAATTAATACCTTGTTTTGTGCAACGTACTGTAGTAAGTTTAAATTTTGTATCATGGCTGGGTGCTGTTTAAGATGCACATGGTAATTCTTTCACTGTCATTTAGACATTGTGTTGTGTGCTTCAGAGAGACATGACTAACTGCAAGTGGCTTCCTGTATGCCTGACTAAATGGGAGCATCTTGCACCTGGGGTCTCTTTTTGCTTCAGATTTTCCAGAGCATCTCCTTCTGTGGCTATAGGAACATGTAAACCCTAACACAGAGCTGACTCTTCAGTGACTGCCACCTGAAATTGTCAGGTCTGTAAGCAGTCTGAGAGTTGAACCTTGGTCTTCATGGTGTGAATACACTGAAACCGCAAAAATAGCAGTCTGAAGCGGTTTTATGCGTAGTAGGCATAGCAGCATAGTTTTTCAGACAGTCAGGCCTTCTAGTGTGCTATGTATTGACTTAAAAGTGACCTCCAACCTAGCAGTACTTGTTTATAGTAGTGGAAAAAAATTGTGGTAAGTTTTGGTTGGCTCAAGCAGAAGTATGATAAAGGAAGAGGCAGAACATCTGCAGCCATTACAGTGTGTAAATGTAAAACCAGAAAAGAGCAAGGAACAGGGAACTTTCTCTTTTTATTAAAAGGGGGGGGGAAAGAAAGAAACAAACAAAAAAACCTGAGTTTTAAGAAGCAAGTGTGTTTTTATGATACATTAATATTATGAGAGAATGCTGAGAAGAATGAAAATAACCTTTTCAGATTACTTTTGGACATTATTGTGCTCTTTTTTTCTCCTTTAACTATAACTTTGCCGAACTTCTAAGAAAGTTGAAAGCTCCTCTTTATGGCTCTCTGTTGGGAATGAGGTTAATTAGTATATGCTGTACAGAAATATTTTGCTGATGAAAGCGCCTGAAGTTAGAAGTTGTTACTGTTTCCATGTTAGAGAGCTGATTAATCTAAGTGCTGCCTTACTAACATTTGCAAGCCAAGTTTATAAGCCTAACGCGTGTTCCTCTGGCCTGTGCCCTTTTACCTACTTTCCCAGCAAACACGTGATAGCAGAGGAATGCAAAGGAGGGGAAGTGTGCAGCAGCTTATGATTAAATTGTCCCTTAAGGAGGAAAACAAGTGTTTAAAGAAAAGGACTTCAGGAATTCTTTGGTGTTCAGCCATCATAATTCAGAACAGTCTTAAAGGCTTACAGTTTCCTTAAGGAAAGGAAAAGGATATGAAAAGAAACAAGCCATTTGATTGCTTCACATCTTAGGCTCAAGTAATACAGTCCTAGAACTAGACTTGTCTTTGTTTTCAGGACTTGATTCAAAATTAACTCTTGCTGGATTAATATTTCTTCATTTGGGAATAAAGGATATTTTCCTTATTGAATCTTATTTGATTTTATGATCATACTATGTTTTAATTCATTCAGATTTACTGTTTATGATTAATGCTATTTGTATTTTTTTTTCTGCCTTGGACAGTAGAAACGCATGTGTCTAAAAAGAGAAGGGTTCCTGAAATTCTTTTTCTTCAGAAACAAAGAGGAGGATAGTTACAAATTCCCAGGCTGAGAAGTCACAGGGGAGTTGAAGGGTAATAGAAACTAGTTGATCTGGTACTGAAGATGTTGGCATTCCAGAATACAACATTTAATGAGTAAACTGGAGAACCTGTTGGCCCTTTTTGAGACAAATCCAGGTGCCTGGTTCTACATATAGGGATATGGTTGGTTTTGTGGTGTTTTTTTTTTCCCCAGTCTTAACGGTAATGCTAAACATATGATGAATTATTAACTGTGAGTGATTTCCCCTTTTGCAAACCCTGTTGAGTCCAGGATATACTGTGTATACTGCTGCTTGTCTCTGTTTTATTGCTCTCTGCAGTTTTGGTCTCAATGTCGAGCTGGTGATACACGACTGGAATGAATGAATGGACTTTGACTTTCTGATACTGATCTACAGCAAGGCCCCTGGGAATAAGCAGTTGTTACTGATGAAGTCATTAAGGGAGGAACAGATTGCAGTTGTTACTAGGGCATACAGGGCTTGTCTTATAGGTTTTGAAACTGGTGTTCAAAGGTGATTTGGTTTCTTTGTGGTCCTAATTAGAAACTGTACATACATAGATCAAATTGCGTACTATCTGTGTTAACATGAGCTTTAGCTGCCCTCCTGGAAACCCAGAAGCCTGATTCACCCAGGACCTAACCTCTAAAACTTGAGCAGTGGTTGATAGATTTGGGAGATCTGTGAGTTGCCATCAGCCACTGTAGCAGTAGTTGTATTGCAGAGGTTGATCATTGCAGGCTGGTCTAGAGATAGGCACTTCAAATATTGCAGTCACAACCTATTGGTCAGCAACCTTACTAGATGCTGTACAACAGCACCTATCTTGTCCATCTCTGCCTAATACTCCTTCTTTTCTGATGTTGTGTATTTATTTCCTAAGCCTGCTATTATTGTAGCATTTCCAATGCTTACATTCATTACATCCCTGGAAGTGTTCAAGGCCAGGTTGGATGAGGCATTGAGCAACCTGATCTAGTGGAAGGTGTCCCTGTCCATGGAAGAGGGGTTGGAACTATATGATTTTTAAGATCCCTTCCAGCCCAAACCGTTCTGTAATTCTAGGATTGCCTAGTTGTCTACTTTTACACCTTTGCACCCCTTTATGCTCCAGATGACTTTGACATTGTATAATGTTTAAAGACTAGAGGAGCAGCACTGCAGTCATAACAAACTGTTTTTGAAGTGCTCAGCTAAACTGCACCACTTAGCCCTCACATGCTATTCAACAGGGCATGAATGTCTACCAGAATTTGAGTTTAATTACAAAGCCTAAGCTTCAGGTTTGCAAAATAAATGTGAATTTCAGCCTTTAGGATTCAAAAGGCATGAAGTAGTTGTACTTTCTTTTGATTTTGCTTAAATAGAAGTGCTGGTGCCACCTTAAAACACTTGGTATTGATAATGCTGTGTTTTGTACCAGTAAAAATGTGACTTTAAAACTTGACCTTCAATCCTGACCTACATAGGGGATTATGGTTTCCTCTACCCAGTTGCCATACTTCTAAGAGGATGTTGTTTTTAAGATTATGCACAGAAATTTTGGTAAGCTAATAAATTAGTGCGAACAAACCACTTTGGAATCACAATGGTCCCCTCAAGAATATGTAGTTTGAACCATTTCAATGTTATACATAGAGACTGTCTGCAGAAATCTGAGTTCTGATTTTAAGTGCTCAAACAACATTACACTGAATTAATGATGAGTAGGGGTAACTTCCAGGATATTTATGTAGAAATGCTGATTATGGAGAGAAAGAAGCTATGAACACAAGCTGATAAATAAGAGCATACAGTTTAATTCGAATTGACTGTATCCTTGAACAATTGAGACATAAATATGTAAACAGAACCACAGTTACATTTCTGTTTTAACTGCCAGTGTTTTTTATTTGAGCCTGTTACGCTTGCCTATTATGATGATCTTTTATCTATATTGGCACCATTGTTATTTGCTTGGGTAGTTAAACTGAGCTGCAGTCCAATTAAATTTCCTCTTAATTTCAGATTTGTTTATGTGAAGGTCATTTTTCTGACAGTTATGACTTAAGTTTCCTGTCATGGTTTTAACCTGGCTGGCAACTAAACGCCATGCAGCTGCTCACTCACCCTTCCCTGCCTGTGGGGCACGGGGGAGAGAATTGAAGAGGTAGAAGCAAGGAGACTTGTGGGTTGAGATAAGAACAGTTTAATAATTGTAATTAAAAAAAAATATATATATATACACAAATGAGTGATGCACAGTGCAGTTGTTCACCACTCACTGACCAATGCCCAGCCTGACCCTAGCTAGCGGTCCTGGAGGAGAGAAATCCTGAAACCACAGTCCCAGAAGAGAATGAATGAGCTTCCTGGCCAACCCTCATTTATATATTGAGCAGGATGTCACATGGTATGAAATATCCTGGTAGCCAGTTTGGATCAGTTGCTCTGGCTATGTTCCTTCCCAGCTTCATCTGCACCTGTACACTAGCTAAGTGTGGAAAGTTGAAAAGTCCTTGATTTCTTAGCAACAACTATAAACATCAGTGTATGATCAACATTCTTCCCATACCAAATCCTATACTAAATCCAAACCACAGTGCTATTCTAGTTACTCAGAAGAAAACTAACTCTATCCCAGCTGATACCGGGACATCTCCTCAACTCTGCATAATTTTGATTTTGCGCTTATTTGCCAGTCAGAACTCAGAGCTACAGGGACGATAGTGTCTTATTGCTGTAACTAATCAACTTGAAATTAAGATATGAAAAAAATTTGGGGGAAGATATGGACAGAAGCAGTTTTGTTTTGCTTGCTGAAGTGAAGACTTTAAATACCTTTTGTTTCAAAATGACGAAAAAAAAATTTCAGAATCTCCTTTATCATTACAGGGTGAGATGCCCTGTACCTGCGACGCGCTTTAATTTTCTGCTATGCTCTCAATTTTTGTATGTTGCATGTGTGCATGATATTCAGTTTGCTGGAATCTGCTGAAAGGCCTAAGTTACATGAGAATGTTTTGCTTTCATTTTCAGCTGTTGTGCTTAGAAGAAGTAACTTAATTAACATACTGAACGTTCAGACCAAAGTGCAAGCATAGCCTGCAAGGAAGAGGCAAGTACTGTAAGTAAATTTGGCATACTTGGAAATATTTCCCAGAATTACTGTGTAGAAGATATCTTGCTAGAAATGGACTAGATTCCTTTGAACAAAATGAAAGTAATTTTTTAACTTTGCTTTTTGACAGAACTCTCTCTGAAAATGGCAGAAGCTCATCAAGCAGTAGCTTTTCAATTTACAGTAACTCCAGATGGGATTGACCTGCGAATGAGCCATGAGGCACTCAAACAAATTTACCTGTCTGGTGTCCATTCATGGAAGAGAAAGTTTATCAGATTCAAGGTATCTTAATTTAGTCAAGTCTGCCAAACTTAGGAGTTATTTAATGTTTTATAGATTTAGATTTATTGAAGTTTTGTGTAGGCAAAACATTTTGCCTTTATGGCAAATAAAATTCCTTGTTATGAAAGACTTGTATGGGTTTTAGTTAAGACGAGATACTGAGGAAGGTGATGCTGTAAAAACTGAAAGGGTACATCTTTTTGATTTATTCTATAGAAGCAAGATGAAACAGATGTGGAAATCAACAATAGCTTTAATTTACTTCATTTTCTTCATAATACATCATGTAATTATGTAATCTTTTAGCATAAATCAGAAATATAACTGGTTGTGATTTTTAGTGTTGTATCACTTGAAGGCACTTGACTGTGCTCTTGATTTTGTGTTCTTTGCCAAAATTAAATTTTCAAACTAAGGAGAATGTTTACTGTTTTCAAAACACCTGTCTTGTACAAATTATGCTAAGTAGTAATGTTTCCGATTAGATATTTGATACAGATTGTTGTGAATTTATTGTTTTGTTCATGGGATCATAAATGGTAAGTATCTATTTTATTAGTAGCAAACTAGATAGGCTACAGACTATCTTCAAGGTCTCTTTCAAAAACTAACAGTAGTCTTAATAAAATCTTTTAAAGCTATGAGAAGGACTATTTAAATGGTATTAAAAACTTAGCTTCTGGTTTTCAGTGTCTTGTTCAGTAGAATATTTTTGCCATGTATTCATTTAGAGAGGCCTGACTCAGTGTAAGTGGGAATTATTGAAGTGTCATTTGTTCCAAAATTGTTTGCCGATTTCAGTATTTTTAGTAAGAATTACAGCAGGATCAGTGTTGTCTACAAAAGAACTTAAAAGTTCCTTTAATTCTTGATATCGTTGTGACAATTTTCTGTAGCACTAGTCAAACTTAACTAAATCTATTCCCTACTCCTGAGTTAAGCACGTGTAAGAAAATGTTGGATAATCTTAACTTCTTGTTTACAACCGAATGACTGAAATGTGTTGATTTTTTTGTTTCTTTCCACGGTAATATGAAATCAACCACTTTGATATGAAAAAATTATGTGAAGGCTTTTCTTTCCAGAATGGAATCATCACTGGTGTTTATCCCGCTAGCCCATCTAGCTGGCTTATTGTAGTTGTGGGTGTGATGTCAACGATGTATGCCAAAATCGATCCTTCTTTAGGAATAATAGCTAAAATCAACCAAACACTCAATACAACGTAAGTAGACTGAAAAGTTACAACAGTATGTTTGGGATACAGTTAAGCCCAATGAGCAGACGTATGAGGATATGGAATAGGTAGATTGTTATACCAGTGTTACTGCATTGTTTGGGAGTATTTGGGAAGCATGTTTGGCAACTTCTGTGGCCTTCGATCTTGCTGCACGAGAGGGTGTTTGGAAAGGAGTCTATGAAAAAGGCTAACCAGGCATGAAGCTTGTGTAATGCCTGCCTGGTGCTGTTAGACTTAGGTTTGCAATATTAGGTTCTCTTTAGAACTTAAACTGACATTAACTAGCCCATGCTGACTTTGTTTTAAATAGTGGCTATATGTCAAACCAAACACAGAACATCGTGAGTGGAATACTTTTTGGCACAGGGCTTTGGGTTGTCCTTATTGTCACAATGCGCTACTCTCTGAAAATGCTGCTTTCCTATCATGGTTGGATGTTCGGTGAACACGGCAAACTCTCCGCAGGCACCAAGTTTTGGATGGTAAGGATATATTGTATTTGTGTTTCTTCTTGCTTCTCTCTGATTTGTATCCAAAGCCCTAAAATAGAAAATTTTGTAGTTTTTTCCTTGCTTGTGTTTTCTGTGTCATGGGACAGTAGGCTGTTAGATAGATATTTCTACTAATTACTGTTATACTTCTGATGCTATAATTAAACTTTTCAGGATGGCCTTGTAGAAGGAAGAGTAAACACTTCAAGAATAACTTCTAAATTTGTCAACGCCTTGGGACTGTGTGGCTCAAATACCTACTTTATGTGCAAGTACAGCTTAAAGAACTTGGGCTGCAGCACCAAAGAGTCTTGTCTTCCCCAGAAAATGCTACCCTAATTCTGTGTTGAAATGTTAGGATTTTTAGTCATCCATTCTAAAAACTTAATCTTATGCTTGAAGAAAGTAATATTGAGTGTCCTTTCAATGGATTTGCTTCCAAAATGAGTTGGAGAAAAAGCTTGTTATGCAGTTTTCACATAAGGATGAGAGTGATCCGGCTCTTTTATAAAGTAAGGAAATGTGCATGTTAGTGCTCCAAGAGATTGTGGTTTTGTTACTCAGTCTCAGTTGCTTCAACTCCTTTTTGCCAGTACTGTTTTAGAAATAAGTGAAGTGCCCTACTACAATAAAGTTAGTCTCTGCAGCCTCAAAAATTAACTGATGTGTGTTAGACTAACAACATGTCATGATTTGTTATGAAATATGTTCAAGAACAGGTATCCAGAATGGTACACTAAAATAGAATTTAATGTTTGTCTGTTACAAATTAAATTTCTAATTGATAGTTTATCCTGGAAGCAGTATTAGGAGCCTCATGACTCGAGTTTGTACAGTACAGGCTCTGAATGGTAAGACTTTTTGTCAACTGCTTGAAGCTGTAGCTGCCTGGATTTTCAGCATGTCCTACCAGATGGATATTTTACAGCTGTTAATGTTGTCTTATCAACCTTAAACAGTATGAACTGTAATGCTACTTACCATGCTTTGCTGCGTATTTTATTTATAAATTTTTGTCTAATTATGTATGTTGCCTAGGTATTTTGTTGTGTATTATATTTTGTTCTGTATTACAGAGGTTTCAAAATATGAAGCGCTGTAGAGGTGTGTGCCCAACAATGTCTCATCTACACTTACTCTGTTCTAATATCTCAGTCTTTCTTTGGCTAGTCTCAACAAAAGATAAGACTGGTTTCCCTAGTAAAACAAACTAACCACCTTAGCTTTCTAGATTTTTATTATCCTTTAATATTGTGTAATTTTCTGGAGGAGTTTTCCTGTTGGGTTTGTTTGGGTTTTTTTCTTAGGGTTTTTCATGCTGTTAAATCAGCATGAAAAACAGCTATCGTGAATATACTGTCTTCTGTTCAAGTAGTCATGCAGATCAAAAAGCTGAGCTCTGCTTTCAGCCACAATACAAAGTGATTTTCAGGCTGGTTGGAAGTCTGGTGGCACTTTTAATGAACATATTTCATCTTCTGAAGTCAAATTTCCTGTACCAGGATTAGGGGAAAAATCCAAGTATTAGTTGCAGTTTTAAAAAATAAGTTGAAAAAATAATAATAGTCTGTGAACAGATGCAACGCATGCTAGAATGAGATTGCTTGCAGTGTCTGCACATGAAATCAGAGATGTAATTAAGTACGCATGTCTGTCAAATCACTTTAATGATCTCAAGCTGTTATAAATTCTCTACTACAAGTTTACTTAAGTTTCACATACTGTGAAATATGTTGGCTATTTTTGTCATTTGAGCAAAAAAAAGAAATTATCTTCAGACTCTGAAGATAATTTCAGCCTTTCCTGGCTTAAGAGTTCTGGAATAAAATTGTTTCCAAGTATGGAATTAGATTTTCTCATGAAAAGCTGAGGGTTTTTTTTCTCACCTGGCTTCAAATTGATCTTGTCATGAAGCAAGATTCACTGTGGTGCGTTCATATACATCTGACAACTCTGATACAGATCCGTTTGAAGGGGCGTCTTTGCTGCTGGTAGATATTCGTGCTGCCTAAAACAACCTCCTCTAGCAAGGAAATCGAGAGCAGAGAGAAACTACATTTTAACAAGTAATTTTGTCAGTTGCAGAGGGATAGAAGGGAGAAATTCTAGGAATTTACTAGTGAAATGACATCCTGTTTTCTTCTGTCTTTTAGTCTATTGGCCTGTATACGATATACAATATAGTATATCAGACCAAGATTGGGCTTTGACTACAGTAAAGGTTCCACTAGGTTGTTGGTGCACTTGACCTTACTGTCATGGTGAAATAGAGTGATAATGTCAAAATCCTTTTATGTGTAGCCTAGAAGTTGCATGGTTTAGACTTTCAGCCTAGTGCATGTCACAGCTGAGAAGTAGTCGTAGACAAAAATGCTGCTTCTGTCTTCAGTTTCCCATGGAAAACGAGAGATGCTGTGATATCTGAAGCTACAATGGGAACTGTCATCTCTGCCTTTTTTGGTTTGTGGCTTGGTTTTTTTGGGTTGTTTTTTTTTTTGTAACATGAGGACTGAGTATAACACTGGCATGCTTGCACAGTTTGGTATGTTCAAATCATGCAGTAGACTACCCGAGATGGACTCATGCTTGAAGAAGCTCTGTGTAACATCAATACTATTATTCATATTGAGCTCTAAATTTGGAAGATATTAAGCCACCTTTCCAAAGCATAATCATTGATTTTGAAGGTGAATCTAGGATCCTTAGCTGAATGATGGGCTTCATAAGGGTTCCTGTTTTGAAGCACAATATAGATTTTTTTTTTATAGTATTTACTATATAGTAAAAGATCAACCACTAGACTTGTTTTTTTAGTCTTTACAGAGACAAACGTATGAAGAAAAGAAGTGCCCAATGCGCGCAGCATGGGGAACAAGCAAGAGGAGTTAGAAGTGTGTGTGCGCCTGTTGGGATATGATCTTATTGGCATCACGGAGACGTGGTGGGATGACTCCTATGACTGGAGTGTCAGAATAGAAGGATACAGGCTCTTTAGGAAGGATAGACAGGGAAGAAGAGGAGGAGGAGTTGCCCTCTATGTCAAGGACCAGCTGGAGTGCATGGAGCTGCACCTGGGGGCGAAGGAGGTCCCGACTGAGAGCTTATGGGTTAGGACTAAAGGCAGAGCAGGGACAGGGGACATAGTAGTAGGGGTCTGCTACAGACCACCTGACCAGGAGGACTGGGTGGATGAGGCCTTCTACAGACAGATAGGAGCTGCCTCACGTTCACGAGCCCTGGTCCTCATGGGGGACTTCAACCACCCTGATATCTGTTGAAGGACAACACAGCGAGGCACAGGCAATCCAGGAGGTTCCTGGAATGCATGGATGATAACTTTCTTCTCCAAGTGGTAGAGGAACCAACGAGGAGAGGTGCTACGCTGGACCTTGTTCTCACTAACAGTGAAGGGCTGGTGGGGAACGTGACATTCAAGGACAGCCTTGGCTGCAGCGATCATGAAATGGTAGAATTCAAGATACTTAGAGAAGCAAGGAGGATGCATAGCAGGCTCACTGCCCTGGATTTCAGAAAAGCAGACTTTGGCCTCTTCAAGGATCTCCTCGCTAGAGTACAATGGGATGCGGCCCTGGAGGGAAGAGGGGCACAAGAAAGCTGGTTAATATTCAAGGATCACCTCCTCCAAGCTCAGGAGTGGTGCATCCCAACAAAGAGAAAGTCAGGTAGGAACACCAGGAGGCCTGCATGGATGAATAAGGAGCTCCTGGACCAACTCGGACACAAAAAGAAAGCCTAAAGCGGGTGGAACCAAGGACAGGTAGCCTGGGAAGAATACAGAGAGATTGTCCGAGTAACCAGAGATCAGGTTAGGAAAGCCAAAGCCCTGATAGAGTTAAATCTGGCCAGGGACATAAAGGGCAACAAGAAAAACTTCTATAGATATGTCAGTGATAAAAAGAGATCTAGGGAAAATGCAGGCCTTCTCCGGAAGGAAACAGGGGACCTGGCTACCCGGGATATGGAGAAGGCTGAGGTTCTCAACGACTTCTTTGCCTCA